CGCCGTGTGAAACTGGTGATGCAGTGGGTTGGGTTTTCTGTCCTTGTGAAGCAATGTTTCATAGATTCTGCGCTTATGACCCATCACCGAACGTACGAGCAGTGCACTGTCCCATGTGTGGCGCCATTACCAACTAATAGTTTGGACGTCCCAACGCGAGAACGATTAAAGGTCCTTTTCAGGGCCACCCAGAAATTGATTTAAATTCATTTTTCCCAATATTGTTTTTGTCTATGGCAAAAGTCAAGTGATTAAGTACTTTTTAATGTCGAATGCATTTAGATATACCTTAGATATTAATAATCGAAAAGCGATTATCAATCATGTATTCGTAAACTTGTTTCTAATGTATATTAGATATAAAGGTTAAGAAAACTTAGACAACATTTTTTCGTCCAATGAACACAAATCTAATAATTCTAGATTGAAAATAATGTGATTACCGTTCATGTTTTAGTAACACTGTTGTAATCTATCTAATAATAGTACATTGTAGTACATTTTCATAGGAATATTGCAATATAGTGAATATTTTTATTTTGTCGTTATGTCAATAAATTTATGATAACATTTATTAGTGAATATAATAAGACAATTACAATGGTAAATGTGAGAAGTTGAGAAAATTATCTTATTTATAAATAAAATAATGACATTATAAAACATGTTGAAACCATCATCATTGAAATGATTCATTTGATTAAAGGTCATATAGTAAGTGTAAAAAGAAATAAGAATATCATCCGCTTAATGAATACAAAAAACAAGAATTTCATATTCTTGTTTTATATTGAAAGTACCTGAAACCAGAACTATGCGTACGTAAGAAGTACGTCTGATCGTCAACTAAGCCTTCATTGTTAGTCATAACTACTGATTTTATCACCGTATTCATTTGCACACCTCTTCAACTATTTATGACTGGTACAATCACATTGTACCAGTTAAAAATTATCTTAAAAAAAGTCAAAAATGAACAATAATTTAGCGAACAATCCTTTTCAATAACTTCATCATCACACTATGAAGTTATAAGTCCATAATTTTAATATTTTATAAAGGGCAAAAATAAGTCATGGCATTAATTAATTTGACAATGTAATGTGTTAACAATGGTGAACGTCTGCATCTGTTACGACATATATATATACTTACAAATTGTAATATTTGCAAATTAGAAAGGTCATTCAATAAAGGTCTGGATGATTTGCAGTAAAGTGTTCAGTCACGATAAGTGGAAGAGCATTATCGGAAATTTGAAAATGCAAAAACTTGTATGTCAATAAAATGCATAGTATGAGAATTGAATCTTGTCAATTGACATAATAATAATAATAATAATAATAATAATAATAATAATAATAATAATAATAATAATAATAATAATAATAATAATAATAATAATAATAATAATAATAATAATAAGGAAAATAAATAATAATAACATTTTAAATGTTCATTAAGGCACTTGATTTTATTCCCATTTATACTTTTAATGTCGATAGATATTTGTTGAGTCAGTCAGACCATGTAGGCTTGTTCATTTACACTTCATGAAACTGATATTTCAAATGCTTGTCAAAAATGGTTACATTCATAATGTCTAGATAATTCAGGTTTCATATTACGGTTAACAATATTCACACATGACTGATTGAACACACTAGTATTTATTACGACCAAAAAATTAATTTTAAAATACAGAACTACAAATAATTTACAAGTGAAAACAATAAACCGTTTTAATGGACTTTTAAAATCAACCACATTGAAATCTAACGTTTTCTAATTCTCATTAAGAATGACCATTTACAAAATAAACGTTCACTAAATATGAAGTGCCTTTTTCGGAAAATTTATTACTACTTTCATGTACTGTCAAAGTCGGTTCATTAAATCATGGTCTTCGGTTGCTTAACCTGAATTATACATATTGCAACCAGTAATTTATCATGATGAATTATTGATATGTTGATTTGTTTCTCTGATTAGCAGACCATGTGCTACTAAAAAACTTATGTACACACTTCGGTGATAATTTGTTTATTAATTGGGTATTCAGCATTAGACAATCGACCGAATTCAGTAATCACTATTATCAAATATTCAAACTGATTTTCAGTTGCTTTTTCACTCAACTATCTTTTAATGTGATACATATCCGTATTTGTGGCGAGATAACTAACGACTTCAATTAAAGGTTGACATTAAATCACTTGATCGGAAAAAAATTTTTTATCGCAATACACATTCACTAACAGTAGGATTGCACTTAAGTTGGTGTTTTTTTCTTCAAAAGTCTAAATTTTTTTCAAGACTAAGATTACACAAAAAGAATTATTCATTATCGTTAAATTTCAAATGTAATAATCTAAATTCTAACATCCAATCACAGCACTTGATGCTATTTCGATTTCAACTAATCAGATTACAAAGATGAACAGTTTACGACCAATCACAATATTATTAAAGGTGACAAAATGTTTGTTCATTATCACTTAAGTACACACTAGCAAAACAAGTACACTAATCACCGATCAATAAATTTTTCTTTCACACCATACAATTTTTTAGAAATGGGTGGTAGGGAATCTTAATTGCCATGGTCTTAATGCCAACCCAACCTGTGAAGCTAGATGATATGGTTTTGACATGCACAAGAAGTATCCTTTGCCCAAAGATTGAATGTAAAGATTGATGGCAGATACCAGCTGGCATGAAATCTAGTTTGAAGATGAGTACACAACGAGCTAGGAACGCTAATTTTAGTCATTAGGTTATTATAAACCAAAAGTTGAATAGAAAACAGTATGAAGGAACATCAACTTTATGAGACAAACTAAATTACTCTTTATAAATATGTACACAACCCATCTTTGATCTGTTTATTGATAACAAGCTTATCTTGTCATGAACAAATGAAGATGTGTCAAATAAATGTGTCATTGTAACCCTATTATCTTATAATGACTAATAATCATTAATTCATACTCATGTTCAATCTCTATGATCCATTCACTTCCCTTTCCCAGTCTTATCTGATATATGCGTGATTTATTGACTTAGTAGGCCTGATATAGATCACTCCCAATTGTATTTGCCTTGAAATATCTTGTGTGCATATAAATATGAACACACGACGGGATTTCAGCCTCAGAAAACATGTGGATTTAGTGGGGACTATTTTTAGTACGAGAAAATAAAAATTCACGAATGTATTGAGTGGTTACACAATTATATAAAAAGTGAGCTTTTAAATACGATCATCCTTAGTTTGCAAAATATCAAATATAGGACAGTGTTAATTTTAATATAGAGTATTTTTTCGAAAAACGCAGTTCATAAATGACTTCAAACGAGAAAAATGTATAGGAATTTTCATGAGAAGCTATAGTAATAACATGACCTAAGGGAAGAATAGTGCACCGAAATACAACTGAACAATATTTCCCAACATAAACACAAAAATGATTGTCTTAACAATCAGACAAGTGAGCATGGAACAAATTACACAGTCCATTTTACTGGTGATGAACAAAGCAGGGCTGTTGCACTATTTATATGATTATATGAATCACTAAGAATTTTGATCCGAACAAATGAAACGACGCTGAATAAACTGGGCTTTTGGACAAGTTGTATTTTAATGTTCGCATAGTAAAATCGTGTTTCCAAACAGTCTGTAAACTGTAATGTCATTGTTTAAGTCAGAAGCAAGGCAGATATTCACCTATAAAGTTGAATGATGGTTGTATTGTGCCATGAGCTAACATAATTTAAAACTGATGTAAAAGCAACATGCTTAACGTGAAATCTGAGCTTCAGCATTTCATTAGTGTCAGCCAGTCAGTCAGCTACAATGTAGGACCAGGCACGTATATGCATCGGTCCAGGTTGCCATACCTCATTAACATAGCAAGATGAACACCGGATTCATAGGAGTGGTTAGGTAAAAGGTGGTAATATATAGGAGAAAGATTGCATATAAGGATACAGTACAGGAAGAAAGAATTAGTTAGTAGAAAGAAAGATATGAAGTGATTTTAATCTCTTAGTTTAAGGGAAGACAGGGAGTGTATACACCTACACCATTGTGATCGACTCTGAGCCATGTCACCAAGAGTCTCCAACGATTGGTTACGATAGTCACCAACCAAGTAGTCTGCATCTACCAACATGGCTCAGACTAGAGGTTAGTGTCTTCAAGCACTGATGCCACTTTATGGTTTGGTAACCCCCAATTTTTTTCCATCCGTCTCCAACACTTGTCAGCATTGCTCGTCGTTGTAATCAGTGTTCAGGCATATGTAACACGTGGCCCAACCATCTCAGTCGATGAAGATTAACAACCTCATCAACTGATTTACCATCATTACCTAATACCTTGTGTCTAACCTCACTATGATTTACTCGGTGATCCCAGCAGATGAGAGCAATATTCCCAGGACATGTTTGACTGAATACTAGTAACGTACGAGTATCCCTTACCCTTAATGGTCACGTTTCGCAGCCGTAAAGTAGGACAGAACGAACTGTCGAGCAGTATACTCGTTCTTTTATTGATAGATGGATATCTCGCCTTTGCCATAGGTGATGTAAGTTGGCCAAAGCCGAACAAGCTTTTTGAATCCGTGTAGAGATTTCGTCAGACAGCAACCCAGTAGGGCTAATCAGACTCCCAAGTTAGGTGTAATTGTCTACGCGCTCGACTACTTCACTCCTTATCCTTAGTTCAGGTGTTGACGTAAGCCAGTTCTGAAGTAATAATTTGTATTTAGAGGGGGAGAAACTGTAAGTTACAGTTATTTTAAATGAGAATCAGAAATACCACACTGATGCTCAAACTAATTTAATCAGTGAAATGAGTATTTACGCTGATGATTTTGTGGAATAAGGATTTAAAACTTAAATCAATGTATCACAGGTTATCAAGAATAACAAAAATTCATACTCGCATAAAAATTGTATCAAGTAAACACTAATTTTAGACAGAAATTCACCTGGTAATGTCATGCAATAAAGTTGTTTCTCGTTTGCCATCTCTGGGAATATCTCTTTCTCAATGGAAGTTGGGCGTAGCTGAACAAATATAAGCAAGAATAGCTTATCAGTATTCGAGTTAAATTACACCATAAAAACAAAGTGTTTACACTTTGCACTGAACAACAAGTATCTAGCACAGTTAGATAAACATTGTTCGATAAAAAAACTAGTGTTTGAGTGCCTATGTACTTCACAACATATGTTCACTGTTGTCGACTAGTGATATGCAACGTAGAGACTAGCACAAACGTGTATCGATCCAGGTTGCAACAGTATGAGGAAATCAGTAAGACAAGGAGAGAAGAAGGAAATATCAATTGTAGCGGTGATTTAAGCACGAGAGATACAATTATCCAATATCTTCAACAATTGACTACAGCTATTGTACGGGCTCCAATCAAGAGGTTTGTTATTAAGGACATAGAACAACCCAATAATCAGTTACCTTATATATTGACAGTCGTTCCCTGGCATTTTCTATGAGCCACAACGCATCAGGATAAGTGGTAACTAGACATATGTTCCAACCACTTCAGTTTATACAGGCTTATCACCTTTATCAACCAAATAACTATTTCCCTTAAAACTCGGACCATAATCTCAGCCTTACTAATCTGCACGTTCCGAAACTCCCGAGTAATGCCGTTTATTATTTAATTATAGAATATATCAACGAATGCATTTACTGAATAACCTGAAACTGTTCCTTTTTACCGAATTTTATTTTTGGCAGAGTGGGATAAAACAATTTCATTTTGTATTTTATGTCATAAAGGCAAACAGTCGTAGGTACCTTAGTTATATGAAAGCAGATGTAAATAATTGTCGATTAGCAACTCCATCTTAGTCTACTGAACACTAAACCAATAAACTGATATCTTTTGCTAATATTAACACAATACCCGGTACATATTTGTTTGGTTGGCTTGAGGTCCCACTCCAAGTGTAAGGACCAGTAATAACAAACAGTTGTCAGAACTTAAGTTGTCAAAGGGGAGTTCCAACTCAACTTAGTGACTCGAAGTTGAACACCTTAACCACAGGGTTATCCTTCTGAAGTACGGGTTTAAATATCTCAATAATAATAACAATGACTGTAAAAATGATTGAAACCAGACTAGATCGATAAACTAACAGATTTTTCTTACCAACGAATGATATATTCATGACAAAAAAAACGAAATTTAAGGTAATAGTGAGTAATAATTATACAGAAAAGTTTCTTACGGGGATCTTGTCAATAACACTAGGATTAAGTAAGTATATACCGGCATTTATCTTATTACCAACAAATTCAATTGGTTTTTCAACAAAACGATCCACACGTCCAGTTGTTTGATCGTAAACAACAACGCCATATTTTGAAGGTTCTTCAACTTGTGTTACCTAGTTGAAACCAGAAAAAGTAGGAAACTCTAAATCGTTGGATAAATCACAGAAATTTTACAGTATGTATATGTTCAACATATATACACCATTTTTCAGAAATCAATGCGCGAAAGAAAATTTTATAAAGCATCATTAATGGGGTCGGCAATAAAAATAAATAATAGATCGTCATTTAATCCTTTAATGAAACATATATCTACCGAATACGTGGTTATATACTCCACTTTGAACCGCATTTTACGAGTGAGGGACAGTTGTTATACCCGATTACTTCAACCAAATTAAATTTAAATAAGTACGACCTGGCAACCCATTAAATCAATGGATTATTGATTCACAAACTAAGTCACCGTTACACATTGTACATCAATGTAACTACAAGGATCGAATTAATAAACCTGTACTTTACAAGTAAGTTACCTTAACTTCCCCAGACTTCAAATTTGATTATGCCTGGACTGAATGAAATATTCTGTAGCATTTCCATAACTTTCAATTAGTCACGATGCAACTAAAATAAGGTATTATATCCATGTGAATGGTTAACGTACACAGTTAATCCTTAAAACATTAAGTCAAATAAATTGGAATAAACTGATTGTGTAAGTATAAATAAAGTTTTATCATACAAGTCAAACATACTTTAATAGTAGAACCATATGATACCATAACAAATTAGCACAGTGAGATGAAAGTAGCACGATGAATAACAAAGGAATAGAAATAATGTAGTGACAGAGGATGACGACAAAGACAGAATATTGGAGATTAATTATAAATATATTTTTGTTATATACCAATGAGTAGAAAAATTGTATTTCTGACGTTTCCTGACTTAACGTAGGCCACTTCTTCAAAGTAAATAAATAACCGAATGAAACATGTGTTAATTTAATTCGGTTGTGCATTTACTCTGAAGAAGTGGCTTACACTAGGTCACGAAACGCCAGAAAACAATTTTTCAACGAACTAGGGTATAACAAAAACATATTTGTTATTAACTTTCTACCTAATGCTCAATTTATTTGAAACTATCAAGTCCAACCTTGGCAATGATACCTGTAAACTGAAGATTGTTTGAAAAGATGAAAAAGAGAGAGAATATCTATGGAGAAAGGCTGAAAATCAAAATCTAGGGTTAAAAAAAAGAGTGAATGAATTTGTGCCATTACGATAGACTCTCAGGGAAATTATTCAACGTCTCCAAACCCTGATCCTGATTTTTGTACAGATCCCATCTAGGTAGTATGTATTTACCTACTAACAATCCTCATTCCAACATCTACATTGAATCAGTATTCTAAACTCGAAATTTGAAGGGGGTTTGAGAGATATGACTCATAACCTTCTGCGTAAACTCAGAATTTGTCTGAATATCGCTAGTAAATTAGGTTATGATTACCAGTAGTGAGTTTTTTTTCACTTACAATCCACGACAAGAAAGTCATAATTATAGTCTGTACTTAATTCAGTTGATTATAAAACGAGTACAGTTTTAATATGCACATTAGTTTAACTGTTCAAAAATGCCCACCATATTATTGTTACTAACATCCACATATTTTTATTACTATTGTTATCACTATAATTTATATTAATCTTCCGAATATATAAGAAACTTAGTTACCACTCTTCCTACTTAACTTTTTCTTGCTAAATTCACATCATCTCATGCAACACATAGTCCTTTCATCAAACATTTGATTCGATTGCTATTCTCAAAATTTCACTTAACGTATAAACTTAATCAAGTTAACATTGTACATTTGTCATTTACAGATAAACCTCAACAGCCTTCTGTGGGAGAGACCAAACCAGCTTCCAGCTGAATAGGAAATTAGGAAAAAACAATGGAAATGGATAGGACATACATTACGCAAATCATCAAACTGCATCACGAGGCAAGTCCTAACTAGGAATCCTGAAGGGAAGCGGGAAAGAGGAAGGCCAAAGAACACATTACGTCGAGAAATAGAAGCAGATATGAAAAGGATGAATAACAACTGGAAGGAGCAGGAAAGGATTGCCCAGGACTGGGTTGGATGGAGAACGCTGGTGAGCGGCCTATGCTCTTTCACGAGGAGTAAAAGGCGTTAGTAAGTAAGTAAGTAACAGATAAACCTGAATTTATATGCTACACTAGTAAACAATGTATTCGCTTTCAACTTGATCATTCTTTCAAAAGATGGCCCCTAAATACCCTGCCGCGGCCGTGAGTGGGGAGAGTCAACTCTCCCTCTCGAAATGCTCTCACATAGCCACACGTGTACAGCCACTGCCACGTAAGTTCTACTCACTGCATTCTCGCGGTATTACTATAGTCTACGAAATTGAGAAAACGAAAAGCGAATGTCCGGTGCTTTAACCGGATTGGTGAATATAGAGGATCCACCTGAGGGAGTCGGAAGACCATGATTCCGGACTAATGGTGCACATGGGCTCCAGGATCCTAAGGTAACAAATGCGTATGAACCATTTGTTGGTCACCGGCTTCCATGGGACTGTATTTTTTAACGTTGCTCTACTGCTTTGTGGACTAGACCTCTAGATTAAAGACTCAGGTAGTGACCCACTAAGGAAACCACCTGCTTCGGTTCAGGCAACCGGGAAGTATCCCAGTCCTCACACGAATCGAATAATGAAACGTGGCGCATACATATTTGGTGCTTCATTGTGCTATGTATGTGTTTAAATAAATAAATAAAAATTCGAATGGTTAATTTTTATGTATAACTGTACAACGTGATGATAAATTTATTGAAAAAAGAAAATTCTTCATTTATTCAGATTATTATTAAAAAAACAACAATACCCTATTGTTATATCTCGATGAGAATAATGAATGGTAACTTTTGGGAACCATTTATGGACAAATGCTATACGTATATTTCTATCGTATAATTGTTAAGTAACTAAACTATTCATATTCGTGTCCCTCTTATTATGAGCTTTATTTTGACCTATGAACTGTAATTATACAATTTACCATTCTTGAATTATGCCCTGTCTATTAATCACTACCTCCCATATTCACAGCCACTTTTGGCTAAAGCTTGTGCAAATATTGTTTCCTGTTTTACGGTACAATGTGGTCCGTTTACTTTGTATATAAGCCCAGTATGTTTGAAATAAATGATTAGTATCGCAGAGGCTGAGATTGGTGTTCTGGACTTAACAGGTGGGGGTAGGAAGGAAGCAGGACCGATAAAGACTCTAGACTGCTCATCCTTGTTTTATGCGTCATTGATCCGGTCGATAATTCACTGTTCTCATATTGGCGGTATCATCATGTTATACATTAATAGGGCACATAGGCCACAAGTTATAACGCCTATATTGTAAGAAATGTCATATTCTTTTATTATAATAAAGTGTCCATAGGCTATTTACTAATTTTTAGCGAATATATTAATTTTATATTCGTCTTAATTTAGATACATAACCAAAAAGATCCGCAAAAAAACAATACTGTGAACAGATTTTTAAAAATATTTACAAAGTTTTTGATGGCCTACATTTTTATAGATTGGAAGCATTGTTATTGAATTATGACACCGTCAATTGTACATAAATTAAGTAAACTACTCATAAGACAAAAAATATATACACGTATTTTCTGATGAAACTTATAGAGCAAAATATAGTGCACAAGGATTACTTGAAATTTAAAATGCTAAGTATGCTCTACAGCGTACATGTCAGAATATAAATAGCACTATTACTCAAATGTTCCTGTTCACAATTAACTTCTTGATTCCTGTGATATGACAGGGGAAGAATTAGTTCTGACAGTCAAGCATTAATTCTATTTGAAAGTAAATGACTTATGGTTGCCTTATTTGTTAAATCACTTCTAATCATGTTTATTCTTGTGTTCAGTATTTTATGATGCAACAAAGTTATTTTGTTGGAAGAAAACGCTATTCTACTAGGAAGCTCTCTTACCTTTGGATATGAACTCCACTGAGTGCTTACATTAATAATTAGATTTCGCGAGCGTCAATCACTCGGCCACATCATGTTATTACATTTTATCTATCGATCATTATTTTTATTTTAACAATCGAGGATTCACGTGTCAAATTATATAGTTCTACTCCATAACAGACTGTCGACTTGAGTTTCAGTATTACGCCCTTGATTTTAAACTAGAAATATGTTACGAAATCTAAGCAACTATTTGAAAAACTCAGCACCGAGAAATATTCATTTGTTTAGAAAATAAAGTAGCGAATGCATTTACATGAGGGGGAATTTATTCAGTAAACTAACCAAAATAGTTCCCGATTTTCCGTGATTTTTATGAAATGCAATGATTGCCTTGAACGGGAAATCACACATGATATCACTGTTGAGCACAAAAAATGGACTATCGTCCACGAGGAGCATATCTTTAGCTAAGGCGATTGGACCAGCTGAAAAGCAGTAAATATATTACAAATGTTTTAGCGCATTTTAAATGTAGTTAATGATGGAATCCATGACGCATAAATTTTAGTTTATTTGCGACTCACTTGATATCTGTATCCCAGTGTCGGATTTTGTACTTATACTGGACAACAACCAACAAAAAGTGAACAGAATTCAATCCTGTATAGCGACAATGTGATCATAGAAACCCTTACAAATCGGTATTAGGCATGTGAATAAGAAGACTCTACTCACTTGTCGTTAAAAATATTATTAGGGGTATGGTTTACTGAAACTATACTACCACCAGCCTAACCTTTTAAATCCCATATCTTATTGAACAACAGATATTATTAATTATGCCTCTAGTTTTATTCTGATTCATTGATGTATACTGCATTCCAGAAACCTGTATAGACGACTAACGCATGACTAATCGGTTATTTTACTGTCTATATTATTTTCTTACATCGTGTTTAGAAACTTCGCGTATGTAGTTACTAGGCTCTTTCAAAGAAGAAATTCCATTATTTAACCACGTTCTGGTATATTATGGTGCCACATTTGAGCGAAAAATATCACAAAACTTATCTGTCGCCAACTGAAACCATTATTCAGCCAAATGCTGACTCCAGGTCTAAGAACACAAAGCATAAGCTTGACTTCGGATCTTCCCTAAAAAGTCAAACAAGCATATGCATCTTTTGCACACAAAATGCGTTCAATAGTATAGAGAAATTGGAGAAAATAGCAAAGAGCTCTTGAACTATTTAACAGTATTTCTGCCCATTAAATAAACATTGATGATTATCTTTAAAACGTTTGCCTATGTAACGATTTAAGCTTAGCAACGTCAAGGTCAAACGAGTAGTCAAGAAATATTTGGTTTGATTACTCATAACATTAGCAAAAGAAAAAGTAATTAATTGCCTATACCATCAGCTGACGTTAAAAGAAAACGGTGAAATGAGAATTTTTTGGCACCTATCTCTGCATTATAATCAGGTCATCAAGCAGAGTGATTCAAATTCCTAGTTAAACTACTTAAGGCATTTAGATCAACGCGAACAACAATTAACATTAACAATATTTAGTGTTAAGATTAAATGTGCAAAAGAACTATGGAATCGCGTAAATATTCACACAAAGGTATTCAATTTATCAAGTAACAAATGATGCTTTTATGTTAAGGCTGAGGAATTTCAAGTTAATAAAGTGAGACTTACCAGTTCCCATTGCTTCAGTTTCATAGGAGAATGTAATTTTAGTTCCAATCTAGAGTCATGGGACAAAAAAATACACTAGTAATAATAATAATAATAATAATAATAATAATAATAATAATAATACTTGTATTGACTTAAGACTGGAAACTGTAACCAACTTTACACAATGTAACAAACTCATTCGTTGAAAATGTAAAATGGATCTGTGACATTTTAAGTATACATAAGTTGAAGATGTTTTATATCATAACCTGATTTGAGTTAACTTACAGTAGTATTGCTAGGTTTGCATATCCAACCTTGATTTACTACTTTAGTCTGGCCAATCGAGCAGTATCATACTAGCTCTCATATGAAAAATGTGACCCAAATCGAAGCAAATAAACCTATCCTTGATTATTAAGATACTTTAATTGTATTATATATTTTTTATTTTAAACATTGGGTCGTAGGTTTACAGTATGGTTTACATGGATTTTGGAGTACAACCTTCATACAATACGGCGAAATCAAAACTTCAGTCACAATCTTGCATGAGTCATATACTTTCATCAGATATAGTCGTCAGTAGCTATTTTAACCAGTAAAAAGTATGTGAGAATAACCTTAACATTACACAGTACATTGTCATCTGAATTAAACCAATAAATTAGTTATTTGTATAATGCGTAATAAAGTCGACCTAACAGAAATACTATTGTCATAGCTCACTATCAAAAATTCATGATAAATTATCTTACTTTCTTCTCATGCTTTTTTAACTCGTTTTCTAAGATATCACTTCGATCAGCACATTTGCTAACAGCTAAGATCACCTCTGATACTCCAACCTACAGAAAATTAGGAAAAGGAGAATTACAACGGAGTACAAATCTATTAATAAACGATATCAATGAACAGATGAAGTACTAATACACAAACAACTTCATACATACGATAAACATGGAATGGGTCTAGTATCGCTGTATTTTTGTGGGGAAAACTAATCTTATATTTCATAAGAGATATTCTTTTAAAGTATGAACTAGCTGATGAATCGAATCAACTATCTGTAGGTAAATGGAGACGTGAATTCATATTCTAGAGAGTTCTATTACTTAGTGTTATATAATAACTATTTCTTAAGAACGATTACTTAGCCTGCATGCTAGGGAGACAGGCAAATGGAAACGAAAAATAAAGATGAGTTGGTCCATTTTTCACAACTGATTACTATCAAACTATAAGGAGAGCGACAAATTGATCACCAAGTTTAATGTATTCGACTAGGTTACATACTTATACACGGGGAAGTATCTGCTTAACTTTAATTTACCAGAAGTTAAAATCCAGTTAAATAATTGGACACCACGAAAATGACTGCAAGACATAAAAAAGCGATCGCCGATGCTTGGATAGTAGCTGAATGAACGAACATTAACTTGCCCCTGAAAATCTATATTTTTAAGTACTGTGCATAACTTTATGGCTCATAAGTTATAATTACATGTAGTCTACTGTACATAGTTCCAGATTGGAAAAAACATACTCATGTACCTCAACGCTGCCAGTTATTTATCCATAAACTCGGGGGAGAATATAGAAAAGCCGACAATAAAGATAATCCTCAAAATCAAGAATTCAGCTTCAAGCAACAATCGACGCTTACACAATTTCTTTTTGGAAAGTAGATAAATTTCAGTTGCTGAAACTGTCTAACATAAGAATACATCGACAATTCTCATGAGGTGTTCGTATGTTTCTCTTAAATTAGTCCCGACCGTTGCTGCTACCTCGACGTGTTGGTCGGGCTTGCTTATCGTAGTGAACCAAACAAGCTAAACTGGTTGGAACAATTGTTCCTCAAGGTCCTACAATGCCAGATAGGTTGGTTGAAGAGCGGTAAGACTAAAAGCAGCAGGGGTGTGACAGCAGTAAGGTGTTCCCTCCAGATAGACAGCACAACAGCGATTCCGTCTTCCCATAAGGAACGGTGGGGTTAGAAAAGGTTGAACCTTAAGATATACACCTCGCCTTATCCCACAATTTCAGTCTCCGGCGGTAGGGTCCCAAAAAGTACGGAGCTAACAAGAAAAATACTCAGAAAAAAATCGTGGGTGATCAGACTAAATCAGTTGTCCCTTGGGCACTGCGGTCACGCCCTCGGGTCACTAAGACTACCTTTAACCCTATTTCCTTTTCAGGTACTCCTATAGGAACCCTTTCATGGCGTGGGCAACCGGGATGTAATAATCATCCTCATACCTTTAACAACACTCAAGACAACTGTATTCACGATCGACTTCCTCCGTCAATTTCTATTATTACCCCTACCTCGACTTTCAACTCTAAACTTCCTCAAGTGTCACCATGGCCAACGATTCTAACGAGCAAAATAATTTCCAGAATCTACTGAAACCTCACTCGAAACTACACATTGCAGCATTCAACGTACGCACCCTGTGTCAAATCGGCCAGTAGGCCTCCTTGACTAAAACCCTAGAATCTCGTACGATTGCTGTATGCTGTCTCCGAAACACGCATACAGGAACTTAGTGTGGTCATTCACTTGACCTCACCTCGCCAAAACGGAGAGTCGATGAGATACACCCTCAGTGTATCTGACGACCCGATGGCTAGTTCTCGTGAACTAATGGGTGTAGGCATAGCACTAAATACGAAGGCAGAACGAGCACTATTAGAGTGGATCCCCGTTAACAGTCGTCTATGTGCTGTTCGGCTAAACGGCTCCGTAAGAACTCGGAAGGATAGAGACACACGTCGTTGCCTTTTCATGGTCTCTGCCTACGCTCCCATTGACTACAGCCGGAATGAAGTGGGAGATAACTTTTAAAGAATGCTTTTCGAACTTTTCAAGAAGCTAAACGTTCAAACATAGTACGCGTAGCAGGTGACTTTAATGTCCAAATAGGTAGCTTAAACCAAGCATAAAGACATTTAGGAGGTTATTTTAGTATTCCGGCTCAGCGAACGGATAATGGTAACTGTCTGCTCCAACTGTGCTCAGATAATCGTTTATTTTTAGCAGACATTTTAAGCATAAGGATAGACATCGTATAACATGGTGACTCGCTGCACCAAACCAACGATGGACTCAAATACACCATATTCCTATCAGTCATAGTTGGAGAGGGTCGATAGAAGACTGTCGCTCGTTCTGGAGTACATGTTTAGACTTCTATCATGCTCTAATACAAGCACGCATTTGCTTGCGCCTCACTGGATGTAGAAAAGCCATATTAAGACCCACTAGAATTGAACTGAGTGATGAGAAAGTCGAAAGTCGATTCCAGGAACAACTGAGGTCACACTTAAGCAGTTCTGAAAACGAGGTTGATCCAGACGTTGCTTGGAAAGAAATGCAAACAGCAGTGATATCTATTGATGGTTTGGACCAAAGAGTCAAGAAAAACCAGAGGATTTATACTAAGTCTATTGCACTGATAGATCCTCGTAAACTCACCCCATCTGACTCTGAACACGATAAAGAGCGAAAGCGAATCAAATCTAGGTTAACCAAATGTCTAAAGAACGACCATGAGCAGTGGTGGGCAACGAAGACAAAAGAGATGGAAAAGACAGTGGCTGTAGGTAACCCAAGACAGCTTTCCAGACTAATAAAAGAAACCGGAACTAAGAAGTCAAGTGTAAGTGAAACGATCTTGGAAAAAGACGACAATCTTATCTGCTCTCAGCCCAGACGTTTAGAACGATGAGCAATTCAGCTGGCCCTCAGCTATTTTACAACTACCCACCATTTCTAATCAACCTGAATGAAATATTAAAGTAGCCCCACCTCCCGACTCTGAAATTCAAAAGGCAATAGCTAATCGGAAACGAGGAAGAGCAGCTGGTCCAGATGCGTTGGTTCCAGGGGTCTTTAAGTATAGTGGTCCAGTTTTAATGATTAGGTTGACTAATATTTTAGCTAAAATCTGGGAGTTAGACGTTATTCCATCTGACTGGTCACAATCACTGATTGTCCCAATATATAAGAAGGGGTAAAAACCATCCTGTGATAACCATAGAGGGATTAGTTTGACTAACATAGCATCAAAAATACTAGCCTCAACAATTATCGAACGCCTAACAAGGACTCATGAATTGCAAACACGAGAAAATCAGGCTGGCTTCAGACCTGGTTGTGGCTGCATCGACCACATATTCACCACTCGTCTGATTTTAGAACACAGGCATGCTTATCGGTGTCTGACAATGATAGTTTTTCATGACTTGAAGGGGTTTGTGGCGGTGTCATTGAAAGTCTTACCTCAGAAGTACATAAACCGTATGAAGGCTCTGCTCTAACACTACCAGTCGGGTATGAGCTTATGCTCAAAATCGATCACCATGGCGTCAGTGTGTACACTCTTTGTCTTCCCTTAAATAGTGAGATTAAATTCACTTCATCTCTTTCTACGAACTAATTCTTTCTTCCAATGGTTGAGATCATGAGTGAATTGAAGCTAGACCACTATGGAAAACCTGGAAGCACTGGATGGCCGTTTCGTCCTATTGTCGGACTCCTCAGTAGTGTGCTTCAATTCACTCATGATCTCAACCATTGAAATTACTATAATACCCACAAAAACTCATCTCTAGTTACAATCATCACATGCTCAGTAGTGAAGGTCTCCAAGAGGTATTTCCTGGAGTCCTAGTGAGAAGCAGTGATCAGTGGAGTCCAACCAGGTCTGTTGTGAGATAGTAACTCACTGATGACAATGGTGGATGCGTCGCTTAATTTCGTGGGTTAGTTGAAGTTAGACATTAACACCGTTGGATGTCATCGGACTTAGTGGTCTTATGGTTGAACGCTCGCGCGCGAGACTGGTAAGTCTTGGGTTCGAACCCCGCGAGGCGGGATCGTAGATGCACACTGCCGAGGAGTCCCACAATAGGACGAAACGGTCGTCGTGCTTCCAGGTTTTCCATGGTGGTCTAGCTTCAATTCACTCATGATCTCAACCATTAAAATTACTATAATACCCACACAAACCCTTCTCTGATTATAATTCTTTCTTCCTGTACTATATCCTTATATGCAATCTTTTTTTTATAAATTAACACCACTGAATTAACTACTTCTATGAATTCGGTGTTCATCTTGTTGTGTTAATGATGTATGGCAACTTAGGCCGATACACATATGTGCCTGGTCCTACGTTGTAGCTGACTGACTGACAACTTAGTAGAATCTTTCCCAATTCTAACAGAAAAACTGCTCACCAGTGAGCGACTTAGAAAATTGTAGTGAGAAGTCATGATATTTGCACAAACTGATTTGTGCTAGAAATGTGTACTACTGGATTCCGAATCATTGACGTAAAAAGAAGCTGTGGTCTGCAATATTTAGCTCATCAGAATTCATATCAGGAATCCGCCTGTAGCTCCTCTTGAGTTACTGCCGGTCCCAAGCCCGGGTTCGGAGAGAGGGTTGGGCATGGAGTCAGCGACCCAATCCCGTAGAAAACTAACTCTCTGGAAAATTCTAATCATGAAAAACAATTCAAACCATTTAAACTCTGCCCTAAGAATTATAAGGTCTTCATTCAGAAGAACTATGACACATGGTGAAAGTTGAGTTCCTTCAGGAGCCACGAAGCCGATGCCCGTTATAACAACCAGAGCAACAATTTTTATAGGTATGTGAAACCTTCGGACAATGTGGGAGACCTGGAAGACCAGTCAAATAACAACGGAAATGAGGAGATACAACTTGAAGATACTTGGAATCAGAGAAACCTATTGGACCAAAGCTGGACAAAAAAGGCTAAGTACGGGAGAGATGCTGCTAAACTCCGGCCACGAAGAGGAAAATGCTCCGCACACTCAGGGAGTTGCTCTAATGCTGTCCAAAGTAGCACGAAATGCACTTGTAGGACCACTCTAAGCAAAAATGCAAGCATGTTCGGGATGCGATTCTCTCCCTCGAAATGCAAAATGTTGCTTCAGGATTGGGTTACATCGACACCCGAACTAGTGATAGGGAGTGAAGTAGTTGAGTGTGTCGACCGCTTCACTTATCTTGGAAGTCTCATCAGCCCTTGTGGTTTGGTGTGTGACGAAATCTCAGCACGGATACAGAAGGCTCGACTAGCTTTTGCCAACTTGCGTCATTTATGGCGTAGGCGAGATATCCGTCTATCAACCAAAGGACGTGTTTACTGCGCAGCAGTTCGTTCCGTCCTACTTTATGGCAGTGAAACATGGCCGGTAAGAGTAGAGGATATCCGTAGGTTACTAGTATTTGATCATAGGTGTCTTCGAAACATTGCTCGTATATCATGGGACCATCGAGTAAGTAACACAGTTGTTAGGAAACAGGTACTACGTGAGGATGGCAAATCAATTGATGGAGTAGTGAAACTTCATCAGTTGAGATGGCTGGGACACGTGTTACGTATGCCCAACGACCGACTGCCTCGACGTGCTATGTTCAGTGGTATAGGAGTAGGTTGGAAGAAAGCTAGGGGCGGCCAAACCAAAACATGGCACAAGTCCATGAAGTCACTGACAAGTGAACTGAGTCATGTTGGTAGGTGTAGACTACCTGGTTGGGGACCGCGAGATGACAGCAACCGATGGTTAGAGACCCTGAATGACATGGCTCAAAATCGTTTGCAATGGCGCAGGTGCATCCACTCTGTGTTCTCCCAAACTCTAATCTTCTGAATTCTTCATGTCCCCTTTTTCCTCTTTCCAAATTTCTTTCACTGGATTATACTCTTTAAATAACATCTCCAAACCCTAATCTTCCCGATTACTGCTTATACTCTTATTACCTCTATCACTACGGGATTTGAATCGACAAGTGCATCTCTGTACTAATGTGGTGTGGCAACTCGAACTGATGTACGTACGTACGAAGTTCTACGTTGTTACTGACTGACTGACTGCCTACCTTCGAGATACCAACAAAATCAACGAATTCAAGATAGCTCTCAACAACAGGTTCCAAGCCTTACAGGATCTACTGAAGGAAGAAGAAACTACCATAGAGGACAACTGAGAAGGTATCAAAGAAGCATTAACCTCAACGTGTTAAGAGGTTCTGGGCCTCAAGAAGCATCATCCGAATTGACTACAATTAAGTGATGCATAAACTCAGGCTTCTTAATCATTCAATTTAGTATTTATCATTATGGGCCAAATTCATTGTTTAAGCAGTAATAGAGTTCTAAAAAACTCACAAAAATTAATTTCAAAAATGACAAAACCAATAAGTCACATATTTTGAAAACAAATTTCCCAACTTATACCCATGATAAAACAATCTTACTTTGGCAAGGGCTTCAATTTGATGTAGTAAAAGGGGTTTGTTGCAGAATTCTACTATCGGTTTGGGATAAGTTAGTGTTAAAGGCCGGAGTCGAGTGCCATAACCCCCAACTAAAATAAGTGCTTTCATATTGTTATATCAGTTGACCTTTTACAATAGAAAAATAAGCATGACTCGTTATTTACTGAAGAGAAATTAACTGTCTGCTTATCCAATTTTTTATGTGAGAAATATCTCGTTTCTTAAAATGAGATAGAACAGAAGCAACTCTAGGTTTGTGATTAGATTTACTACGTTGCGATAGTTACATCCCAGGGCGGAAGATTGTCTGCAGCGTGTGTTTCTGTTCCCCAAATAAATAAACGGAATAGGGGTTGAAATCATTGACTAGCGTCTACATGACAAAAATACCCTAATTTTAGGCATAACAATTCCATGAAACATTGAGGTGGATCGATGTACTGTATGGTTTGGCCCGTTGGATTTAGGATATGAAACAAAACAAGTTGCGTTGATGACTTAAGTGTTATAGGGAATTAGATGCACATTAAGCAGTTTATATGAAGTGTAGATACGTAAAAATCAAACAGTGAAGGGATATTTTTGATCGATCAGTGAGAATTATATCAGGTAGACACTAGCTTATCAGTTGAAGAAGCGTGGTCTGTATTTAAAGGTAAGTTTAGTTTAGTTACGTCCTCGCTCATAACATACCTGGTACCGCGAAGACCGAATAACAGTCCACCATGTTCATCTCTACTGGCTAAGAACAATACAGATCCAGTTATTGTAAGATTAAGAATGTCTGTAAAGCGTTAATAAGTAAGAATAGATCATATGAAAAACAATTGGTTAGGGATTCTAGATATAGCCCGAAACGGTTATTCTCGTATATAAAAAGGCGAACTCAGAGAAGCGATGGAATTCCATCACTTTTGATACAAGAATATCCGTTAATCTTGGCAAGAAATGATACCGAAAAAGCTGAAGCTTTATCGAAATATTTCAGCAGTGTTTTCTATCAGTAATGAAAAACGACCAACGATTCATTGTGATGGTGGTAGCTCGCTGATGAACTCTGTGGTGATTGAGAAAGGTACTGTCTTAAGGCTAATTCAGCATCTCAAACCTGATAAGTCCAGTGGTCCTGGTGATATTCATCCTAGGATTATGGAAGCCATATCAGATGTGATTGCTGAACCATTAGCGATACTGTTTGACATGTCCCTGAGGCAGTCCAGACTGTTCAGAGACTGGGAAGATGCGATAATAAGTCCGGTGCATAAGGCTGAGAGTAGGGATTTAGTTAGTAACTATAGACCCGTTAGCTTAACTAGTGCGGTTGTAAAGCTGATGGAAAAAATCATTCGGATATGTTACAAACTATGTTGAAGGACATAATCTTTTCTCCAGGGAACAACATGGTTTTCGGAAAGGCCTATCATGCTTGACAAACCTCATTGCAAGAGAAGATTGGGCTGCGGCAAAAGATCGGAATATTCCTGTGGATGTGATTTTCATGGATTTAAGTAAAGCCTTTGATAAGGTCTCCCATTCTGGTCTTAAATCCAGACTGGAACGTTTTGGAATCCGTTATGCAGTCGTAGATTGGATAACTTTCTCCATGACAGGAGACAAAGGGTAAGGGCTAATGGAGCTCTCTCCTAGTGGGTACCCGTAAAAAGTGGAGTTCCCCAAGGTATAATCCTCAGTCCTCTTCTCTTTATACTTTATGCAAATGAATTAACAGCTGTAGCAAAATCATCCGTTCTACTCTTCACTGATGACAAAAATTTGAAGAACCATACACAGTATGTCGGATAGAATAGTATTACAGGATAATCCTAGCTCATTGGTGGCATGGTTGGACAGGTGGTCACTAGAGGCAAATCCTGATAAGAGTGTGGTGATGCAATTAAATAACTATAATCAATAGTATTACCATACAACATGTGGATTCGTGCTACCCAAAGTAAGAAACTATAGATTTAGGAGTCATATTAAGCAGTGATCTCAAAACGATTAGTCACTGCAAGGCTGCCGCTGCGAAAGGGTATTACGGTATATTCGTAGGTTTTTCCAGTATTTAGATGACGAAATGTTTAAATTATTATACCCGACCATATTTAGAGTATGGGATTCAAGCAGCGAGTCCTTGTTTTAAGTACGAAGCAGATATGCCGGAAAGAGTCCAAAGACGAGGTACTAAGATGGTAAAAGGTCTATCTGGCCTATCTTATAAAGACAGACTGAGATACCTTAACATATTTCCGTTATTTTACCGTAGAATATGGGGTGACTTAATATTGGCTTATCGTATACTGAACGATGACCTTGATATTAACATGTCTTATCTTTTACTTCCGTCTAGGGCTGATCATTTGAGAAGACATTCGAAGAAATTTTAAAAACCGAGATCGTATCGTTTCTCGCAACGAGTAGTAAATTACTGGAATTCTCTACCAAGACACGTAATACCAGCACATTTTGTTGATATATTCAAAACGAGATTGGACCTCCACAGTATTATAAACTGCAAGGATTAATATAAGTCGACAAACCTAACCTTATTACTGAGGATTGAAGGTAAACGTGGAATGGCATAGTTGTCTGAATATATTCTAAAGTATTATAAAGACAATGTAGTTTTATATCTTTTATGGACTATATATATATGTATACGCGTGTACAGGGGTTGCTGACATGAGATTTAGCCAAATAGGGAAAAAAAGACCAGGTATTCTGCATTTTCCATGGGTGTACTTGAGAAAACTGTAACTGTCGTTGCTAATGAGATGGTCTACTTACTAATATACCTGGGAAGCAATACAAAAACAGGAAACTGATAATAATGACACATAAAAAGATACAGAAGTGCTCGAAAGACGATAGACATCTATTATTGAAAATATGAAGCAAACCAACCCCGAACAAGGCGGCGGCCAGCAAAGCATTAAAATCGATACAGTTAAACGAATGTACTATATCATTTCACAAATAGCGGTTTAGGTACGAAACGTGAATTTCAGCTGAGAAGAGAATGGAATAAATCCTGTCGTGTTGGAAGACTGACATGATTTCGGCGTTTCTTGTTCTAATCCAATATGTGGGAGGATTGATAAAGCATATTGTTTTGTAACTAGTTTTTGGACGTAATAACTTTACCATTATTTTTAGAATTTACATTTTCTTGTTTTACCACAAGTGCATTAGAATTTACTAAAGATATAAGTCTTGGTTCCAAGTCTTACTTTGATAATAAGCTTACAAATTCTGAATTTTATCTAAATATTATAACCACTTATGTTTATGTGAATGAGTTTTCTGTGAAATACATAATTTGAGTTTTCGTGTCCTAACACGCTGAGCATAATGACCAGACTTTCCCGAATCCTCGAAGTTGTACGAAGAATAATCATTCAAATTTACATATAGTGATGCATAGCAAAAATGCATCTTGAAGTATGATCAATGTGTGGCTCATATAAATTCCGAGAATAAACATTTAATTTGTCACTCTGAAGATAAGTAATCCTCAATAGATGAGATAAGCATCTGTGGACAGTTTCAAGTATTTATGGGTGGGATGTGAGTGGCATTCACTTATTGAACATATATTTTAAAGTAAATGATCACAAATTCCTACAGGTACGGACCTAGGTACAAAAAGCATGTGGAAATGAGAGAACCATTAGCGGATTCTTAAGAATCCATCAATTTGCTTCTTGAAGGGCTACAAGGAAGTTACTTGGACCAGTTCAACTATTGATGAATTCCTATACATCATTTATAAGGAGTGGTTGTTGTATCTGCAGTCACATCCGGTATTACACCTCCTATTTCTAGGTATTACCTCTAAATTTAGTATTGAAAATGAAATTTAATGTTTTAGGTTATGCACAGGGGTATTAAGGACGTTCTAAACCATGGATTGAGTCCCAGTTGCTTAAGACGTCGTTCACAAAGCTTGTATGTTAGCGAAAATATCAGTTCTGAACCACGCTATTCTTGAGGTTAATCTCCCAAAAAATGAGAAGACATACTAAACGCTATAACTTGGTGAAGGTAAGGGAACGTGTGGACGGAGATATTAAACCGAAACGACATGACTCGTCCATACAAGTACAGTTACTCAATGCAATATTTTGCTTTTCACGTTGAGTATAGTACTCAATACTTTGCATATGTATGGTCCTAAAGAGTTCATATTGACTTCCACTATAGGATGAGTCAGTCTAGACTATAATGTGACTTCAACGTGAGACCATCCTCAACGTTGGATTAAGTCGACTACTCTCTTAGCATAAATAAGTGCCGATCTAAACCTAAATTTTCCAAGTATGTTAACTGATTTACTGACTGGCACTTGCATATCTCTCAGAGTATTGTCGTACTTCAGGAACAAAGAAAACATTATGTAATAGCATCATATTAAACTATGCTGACACTTTGGTCACGGTATATTTTTATTGTCTATGCACGTCGTGAACGACTTATAACATTCCGACCCACTTCATCCAATTGTAAGTTCGCTTGTTTTCATTTACGAGTACAATGTATACTTAATGATAATACCACTCTCTGAATTCCTGTAATTTTGAATATTGTAACCATATTCCGTCGCTTCATTTCTAAGGCGATACTCTTTATAATCGCATTACACTCGAAGTCAAGTGTACGTGAAAGGACTAACAACTTCGTCTCTGTGTTATAAATGTATTTAACGCCGAAAACAGTCGTCGCCTGGATTCTGTTGGGCCTGCTTTGAAGGTTAGAAACCCTTCTCTCATGTAGATCAATTCAAAAAATAATGGTTGAGTCAGGTACTGCTGTAATCACATAGATTGAAATTATGAATCATACAAAATGACTTAAAAATAACACGAAAAAAGCATACAGCATGTAAACCATTTCAAAAAAGTCAGATACAGTGAAATCCGAAATGCACTATGTTTTAAATCGCTGAGGTTCAAAATATATCCACTTATAAAAAAACAGGCAAGGTCTTTCTAATCAAAGAACTTCCGTAGTGAATATATGAGTCAACCAACTTAGAAGGCAGATGATCGAAACCTCAGATAGCTTTACTGCTAGACAAGAAACGCGATTTATGTTGTTAGAGGTAGTCAAACATTCAACCAAACAGTTATAACCAAAAACTCAGTTACTCATTATGGCACTCACCGAACTTCAATAATCGAATAAAATAAGACTACAAGAGACAGTGGAAAACTATATAATATCGAGAAAAACTGCGGTGCTAAGTAGGATGAGTGATACTAATCTACGGACGAAAAGAGGAACCTAATGTTCCAGTTAAGGCAACACAAATAAAAATCTTACATTTTAAAAGGTTAACAATTAAGTAAAACGTCCTACTATCAAACCAACCAGAAATACGTCTCAAATTTACTTGTGCAGGGTTCTCTCTAGAGACATTTTGTTGAGTTTGGCATAAGATTTAAGATCACAGAGCACCAAAAAACCTGTGTTTTCTCTTAACTGCGGCACGTTAAGAATTTGAAGTGTCTGCTAATCACTGTGGTTTCAAACTGCCGTCAAAGGCTTACCGTTATCAGTAAGAGATAAGGTCACAGAGAAATTTTAAGTTGTGAAACCCTACTGGTAAATTTCGTGGCTTGAAGAAGTAAGAAATTTAGTTGCGCCGTAGAAAGTCCATTATTTAGTTATGACTTAAGCCAGCATATCGAAGCTGACAAACTGGCTCCAAGTCCACCGTACCCGTGCACCCAACATTAGTAGTCCATCCATCAACGGCAGTCCCAAGGTTCATGATACTGCTAATATAGTGGGAAAAAATGAATATTGGGTAGTTGCGTGGCTCACCACAAATTAGAGGCCTTGTAGAGCCTAGTCGTATTGAAAATGATATGATCAGCCGGTATCTTAAAGGATTATTCTACTGACACCATCTTCAGGTTGGGGAGACAGATGTATATCTACCTCCAAGTGTTTAGAACCTTATCTTATTCTCGGAAATGTGAGAAAAAAAACTTATATATGACATCAAGAATAAGGATACTTTCCTTAGCACAGCATGGCAATCACTGTACAAAATTCGGAATGTGTACCTTCTTAGGTGATGTGATACATGCAGTTCAAGTATGTTTTTGAACAATTACATTTTGGTTTACGCTATAAATCTTCCTCATTTAATTCACCTTGTGTTGACAGACATAAATAACACACCATATATACTCCTATGCAAAAAGAATATCTCGAAGTAGATTGTCCATTAACTTTTCAACTGTTTTTTCCGCGTGCTCTGGCCCGAATGGCATGCGTACAAGCTCAAACAATCCAAAGAGTGCAGTAATAGCTGCCTTAGGGATATCTTCTTCAGCTATGGAGATCCTGTAAAATGCCCTAACTACGTCAATTTTAGTAAGTATGCTTGTAGCATGTAAGTCGTTTGTAAAATCATGAATACGAGTCACAAGGTAGCTATCTGATACCGTTTGACGGTTGAGCGATCTGTAATTTCCAAACAACCGCCTATCGCCTTCAATTTTTTTCGGACTATGCGAAGAGGGGATGCCCATTGGTTATCAGACGGACGGATAATACTCAGCTGTAGAAACAATTTTTATAGGTATGTGAAACCTTCGGACAATGTGGGAGACCTGGAAGACCAGTCAAATAACAACGGAAATGAGGAGATACAACTTGAAGGTACTTGGAATCAGAGAAACCTATTGGACCAAAGCTGGACAAAAAAGGCTAAGTACGGGAGAGATGCTGCTAAACTCCGGCCACGAAGAGGAAAATGCTCCGCACACTCAGGGAGTTGCTCTAATGCTGTCCAAAGTAGCACGAAATGCACTTGTAGGACGGAAATGTCACGGATCCAGAATCATCAAAGCATCATTCAAAACAGAGGAGGAAATCACAACGAATGTTAAAAAATGTTATGCACCCACCAATGATAGCAACGACGACATTAAAGATCAATTCTATGAGAGGCTGCAATCAATCATAGAGCAGTGCCCAAGAAAGGGCCTCACTATTCTAATGGGAGATCTAAACGCCAAAGTCGGAATAGACAACACCAGATATGAAGATATCATGGGACGACATGTACTGGGAGAGAGAAACAAAAATGGTGAGAGATTTGCAAATCTATGTACATTCAACAAATTGGTCATAGGCGGAACAGTATTTCCACACAAGCGTATACACAAAGCTGCATAGATCTCACCGAACCACACCACAGAGAACCAGATAGATCATATTTGCATCATTAAGAAGTTCCGAAAGACAATGGAAGATGTGAGAACCAGGAAAGGAGCTGACATAGCTTCAGATCACCACCTAGTTGTGGCCAATTTAAAACTGAAGCTAAAGAAGAACTGGACAACTGGACAAACAGCATTACAAAGGTTCAATACAGCCTTCCTTCGAGATACCAACAAAATCAACGAATTCAAGATAGCTCTCAACAACAGGTTCCAAGCCTTACAGGATCTACTGAAGGAAGAAGAAACTACCATAGAGGACAACTGAGAAGGTATCAAAGAAGCATTAACCTCAACGTGTTAAGAGGTTCTGGGCCCCAAGATGCATCATCATAAGAAATGGATCACTGTAGGAACACTGGACAGGATCAAAGAAAGTAAGAACGAGAAGATAGCAATTAACAACGGCTGAACACGAGCAGAGAAAGGAACAAATGTGTAGAGTACTTCGAGGAACTCCTGAATAGGCTGGCTCCAATGAATCCACCGGACATCGAAGCAGCACACACAGATCTTCCTATAGATGTCAATCCACCAACGAGGGAAGAAATCAGAATGGCCATCAGACAAACCAAGAGCGGGAAAGCATCAGCACCCGACAATATACCGGCTGAAGCACTGAAGTCAGACATCGAAGTAACTACAAACATGCTTCACCTTCTATCCGAAAA